TGCCGCCAACAATTTGATTAATTACCGCACCCGCCGCCTGACTGTATGCTACACTTTTTATATGCCGCCGCCCTGCGGCAGGCGAACTGTTCAAGTCGCTGTCGCTGCAAAGGATTTGTGCATTATGTGAGCCACACTTTTGCTTCCGTTTTGTGGTGCGCCTTCGCCACATAAATTCTATGCAAAACTTAATTTACCTCAGGCCAAAAACTGGGCAATAATTTTTATGGCAAGCTTGCCGCGGGCTCTGCTTAACACTCAATGGGTCCACAGTTCTAGGGCTTTATGTGGCTGACATTTATAAGCTGGGCGGGGCTTTTGCTCTAATGATATTAGAGTTCGGTTGCAATGCTGACAGCACCACAAAATGTTAGCAATTTTAATGACAATGCAACAATAAATAATACCAGCATTTCAATTACCACGAAATAGCATAAACCCGTTAATTAAACACATTGTGTACACGTACACAACTTGTGTTAAAAGTTAAAGACATTTCATTACATGCACCGGCATATTTCTAGATTCATTAACATCAAAAGACAAAGACATGCTTCATGCAATTTGTGTATGCAAGCCGAAAATGGAACTTATAAATCCAAAATAATGCAACAATATCAAATAAATTATCAAAAAAAGAGACGAAAACTGCAGTTCAAAGTTGGTGCAAACATGAAATTGACATGTTTAAGTCGGTTGTTTGTGCAAGTTTGTGTTATTATTGTCGTTGTACTTTTGGCGCTGGCCAAATCGAAAGCTGCCAGCGTCGAGAATGCGGTAATTGGAGACATTCGCGATAAGTGGACCGATGACGATAGCCAGCAGCAGAAACAGGAGCAAGAGCAGCAGCAGGAGCAGGAACAGGAGCAGGAGCAGGTCCAGGAAAAGAAGCAGCTGCTGTCGTTTCCAGTTGAACAGTTGAACAGCTTCACAGCCACGAGGCATCATCATCATCATCATCAACATCATCAGCGCCCACATCGACAGCATTTGCATCTGCATCATCATCATCATCATCAGCAGCAGCAGCAGCAGCAGCAGCAACATGGCCATGGTCGGTCTCACAGAGAAAATCATTACAAGGCGCTCGAATTGGAGCAGCGACGGCAGCAGCTAGGCAAGCACTCGCACTGGCTGCAGTCGACCATAAACCGGCCCCTGGCCCCGCCCACGCCTGTGCCCTTTGCTGATTATGTCAACGACGAGGAGGTCGACAGCGAGCCACACAGTCAGCATGTCGGGAATCTCGACTATGGCAATAATCATTTCGATTTGGATAGCTATCAGCGCTATGCGAACATCGAGCTGCCAACCATCATGGCGGCCGCTGGCGCCTCGACGCGCTCCGGACGTCATCGTGGACGCCATGTGATGCCACAAAATAGCAACAACAACAACAACCAGGCGAACAATATGATGCTGCCGCTGATCTCTGAGCTGGGCGGCAAGTATCTGCGCTCGCTGCCCGACTCTGTAGACTTTCTTCAGGATCGCCTGCATGCAACGCAGGCGCAGCGGCATTGGCCCGTCAAGAGGGAGGCCATCGTTGAGGGCGACGTCATTCTGGGCGCCCTCATGATGGTGCATTCGCGCGAGGACAGCATCACCTGTGGCCCCATCATGCCACAGGGCGGCATACAGGCACTAGAGGCCATGCTCTACACAATCGATCGCATCAATGAGATGGATTTGCTGCCTAACATCACGCTCGGCGCCCATATTCTCGACGATTGCGACAAGGACTCGTACGGCCTGGAAATGGCTGTGGATTTCATAAAAGGTAAGGGCAGTGGAACTTAAATGCATAAATTGTTCCCTGCACACTTTCATTCGTCAAATGTGAAGTGTCTTTTGAATAATCATATACATATTTTATATTTTCGCATAGCAAAGCAGAACTTATTGCCTTATTCCCTTAACCCCGTACATTCGCGAATACGCTCTTAAATAATCTTCGATGTTTACGATCCGATTCATATGATACACATATGTTAATCGAATGTATATAATTCCATATATAACTCCATTATATTTCTATAGCTATCATAGGGAAATACAGGCGTATGATCAGGAAAAGCTTCCTCCACAAAATTATTAAACCCATTTAAAGAAATGCGTTCAAAATATAAAAAAAAAACAAAGTTCTGCGGAATTTTGCCTTTTTTTAAACTACGAATAATAGGCATTGTTGAATCCATGATCAATATAAGAAGAAATAATAATTTTAAAGGAAACAACATACATATTTACTGTGATTTACATTCATACGAGCATCTGCGAAATGAATATATAGCTTAATTGTTGTGCAATTGGTGGCTTATGCAGAACTCTTTTATAAATGTTAAAATCAATACTTATTTAATTACAGTTTATATCAAAACTGAGAACAAATGCAGGATTTCCCCTTTGATTGCCCACGCAATGGGAATATTTGTTGTTTCGAATATTAAGCACTTCGCTGAACCCAAGGCAAAGCTGACGCAAATACGATTTACTCGAGCGTCGAACGTTTCATTAATAAACAAAATTAATAAATAAATTAAGCGACTTCTTTGCGGGGAATATCGGAGCAGCAGCAGACAGGCACATTTAAGCCCTCTAAGCGCTTTCGTGCCCCAAAACTAATATACATAATTCCCCTAAGACAAAACGGTGTCATTTATTGAATTTTCACACACACACACACACGCACACAGGCACACAGAGTAAGGCATCAGAAGTCCCACGTGTCAATGCGAGCGAAAATTAAGTGCGCCGCCAGAGATCAACATGGCCGGAAGTGGGCGAGGGCGTGCCGGCGGATGTGAGGGCGTTGCCACATGGCTCACATATGTAAGTTGGCCCGCGTGCGGCAGTTTTGTCTGGCACTTTGCCCGTGCACATAAAGGAGGCGCTTATTGCTTTTATCTGGCAATAAAGCGGCGCATGGAACAGCGACAACGACAGCTACAACGATCTATAATCAATTGCGCCAGCATGGCAAGGATTGGCTGTCGTTGGCCTTGTCCTTGCGCCAGGCCTGAACACTTTCTAATCTCCATAATTTCATTATTTATGTGCGCAACAAGGATTTATTTGAGCGACATGCCGCATAGACTAGCGGCCACATTTCTCGCATCCGACGTATGAAAAATATAATTTTCCAAGTCACTGAATTATATTGACAGGATTAGGCAACCCGCAAACTATGAGCCCCTGATCTCTCTACACCCCCCAACAAGCACAAGTCATCAGCTTCGTCATTGTTGTGGCACCCATTAAGTGGCCTACCCAATGGAGTTAATTAATTTGTATTTAATTACAGCTGCTGAACTTTGCTCCCTAGTGGGCGTGGCAGACTCATAAAAATAATCCCAAGCCGAATTGCATGATCTGTTTATGTGTGTCTGTGTCTGTGTGGCTGTTGGGGAATTAAATCGAACTTAGCTTAATTTAATCGAATTGAAATCGGAAGCTGGAGCTGCCAGCATCTGTTTTCTACTGCGATTATATTAATTATTTCTAGCCCCCACCAGCAGCCAGCCACATCAATGTGCACCACAGACTACAATTGAAAGTTAGCAGCTGTGCATTTTAGAAAAATATGCACATAACATTACGCAGATAAGTCTGCATTTAAACACGCAACAATAAAAAACAGATTCTAATCGCCTAAACAATACTCTTAATGCCATTGCAATATGCCCCGAAATGATTATTTAAACACATATTTAAAATGCTGCAAGAAGTATTAAAAAAGTCTTAATTTTATATTTATTGTAATGAAAACTATCGCCTGGGTGATAGATTTGCGATGCAAAATATTATTATTTTTGCAACCATGACAAAATCTTACAATATTTGACAGATAATAAATATTATCGAACTATTCCGGCAAGATTTGTGTAGTCTTTCTCTTTAGACAGGTGAGCCTTTCTTTTTTTTTACAGGGTGTATAAAGTTATCTGTGCAGCAGAAAACAAGACCCGAACATAAATTGCAGAAAATAAACTATTTAGTGTTTTTCGAAAAACAAACTAAGCGCACATAAATGAATACAAATCAATTGGATTAAGTGTAAATATAGTAAACGAAAAATAAATAAATTTAAAAAAGTGTAAATACAATTACCGGCGAAACTGTAAAAGCTTATATAAACATACAAACGTATTTAAATGTGGTTCACTACCCAGTTGGCCCTGTCGACTAGAACTATTTAATGGAGCAATAAATAGCAGCACACACAAAGTTTTCTAATTAAAAAATGAAACGCTGCAGAGTCAAACAAAAAAATATATATACATAAAAAGCGGAGAAACACAAATTTGCAAGCATCAACACAAATATGCAAATGAATAAGTGCCGTGGGGTCGTCGCGATTGAGTTGCAAGAACAAAATGACCAACTACATTGTGTGGGCTTTGCTTTTGGTCTGGTTTTGTATGGATGTGCTCTTCGAAGGTTTGCTCTGACTTGAGCTGGCGTTGGCAAACTTTTGCTCTTCATTTCTAACTTTGTTTGCGCCACGGGCCATTTACGATTAAGTATTAGTTATTAGTTTAGCCGCATAACGTGGTTAGTTAAAATAACCAAGAGTTCAGAGAATGGACAAATTTTGAATATGATATTAAAATAATGTTGAAAAATAAATGTACATAAAAGCAAAAAATATATCAAAGAATTTAGTGTGCATAAAAATCAAAACTTCAGATAAGGCATTATTAAATAAAAACAAAAGTAAACAGAAAAACAGTTTATTAGATAGGCTACGGATATTTCAATATCAGCAGACAAGTTATATACATATTAGAGCTTTAAAATAAACTTAAAAAATAAATATCAAATACTACTTATTATTTGGATGTTTAAAAAGTAATGTGAATCTCTTCTGAATTCTGATTTAGAATTAATCTCTAAATTAAATATTATTTGTATTATATATTTTAAAATTAAGAGATTATAAGAAGATAGTATAAATTTCAATACTAACCGTATTATGCTCCTTCTTGCTTTTGTTACAGGATCCATTAGTAACATTGACGATGCCGAATATCATTGCAACAAGACCCAAGTGCGAAAGGTGATATCGGGCGTGGTTGGTGCTGCTTCATCGGTGACATCCATACAGGTGGCCAATTTGCTGAGATTGTTTCGGATACCGCAGGTAGGTCGATGCACATGTCGTATACGTAACATTAAAAACTGGACGCTGTTTGCAGTCGGTTTTTTTGTTGACCTCACATTGGCAGTGAAAAGTTTTTGTGGTTGTAATTAAAAAGTGCACAACATTTGTCGCAGAATGCTCAGCTGGAAATTAGTTTAACGGCCAGCACGTGGCTCCAAATTAGTTGACTTTCAACAGGCAACAAATCAAGCAAAGTGCAGCAGCTGCACACTGGAAATGTCAAGGGTACTTACAAAACTCCGTTTAAGCCTAGTACACGCTTCCATCTGTCCTGGCTCTTGTTGCCCCCGTCTGTAACTGTTTCATTCTGCGAGACATCGTGTGGCAGCAGCAAAGTCACGTCGCTTGGGAAGATTGAGTAGCCGCAGCGTTGCCCCTACGTGAGCAACAGCCAAAAGTCAATATGCGACAGCAAGCAGGTACACGGCAACAGGCAACTGCGCCTGCAAGTATGCCATAAAACGCACACGCACCCAGCAGCCATTCACTGCAGCCCCAAAACAGTTGCTCCGAGATGGCCATAAATCAAGCGCTAGCTTTTGATTGCATTTCATTGGTAGTTGATGGTTCTTCTGGCCGGCAAAAACATTGTTAGCCCGGCTTCAGGGCTGCGGGCCGAGCGTGTACGGATTTTGGTTTCAAATCAGGCAGGGTTTCAAGTCGAGCACGTTGATGACCACAATATCCCTTTTAAGCTCATTTAATGTGCCATTTGAATGACTCTCTCCAAACCCAAAGAGTGGCTCCGCCTCGACCCGAGTGCTGAAAGATAGTTCGTTTCTGATATAAAGCTGTTGTCAAGATCTTCAGTTATAATCTAGTCAAGGGTGCCAGGCTAGCAGATTACCAGCCCTTAGCTGACGAAAACAAGGAAACCCAGATACACACATACAAGCTGCTTACTGCTTTTTGCTAGGGCCGTCCTTCATCTTCTTGCAGCGTCATAATGTGGATAATGGCCGTTCATTCCTGGTATAAATACATGATTTATATGTGCTTATAAGCCAGAGCAAGGTAACAGATTCTTTTAGATAACTGGATGGTTACCTTTCCAATCGAGTTGTTCAATCGGCGAGAGTGCTTTGTGTCCTTTGAGAACTATTACATAAAGGAGGGTGTTAGGGACTATACCAACGGAACCAGGACAAATGGCAATAATGAGCCCAGTTCTTCGTGGTAATTTATAATGGAATCTTCCTTGATTCTTCACAAGAACACAGCTCAGTAAATATACGTGATGTAAAAACATTGAAGATTTATTCCAAAAAATATTAATATAGAATGTGAATCCCAGAATTCGGTAATTAAATTTTTCATATTTTTTTTTGCTGGAATAAGCACCTAATAGTCACCTGCAAAATATACTGAATATACCCATCCTCGAATGCTATCAGCATTCACATCATTGCGAATTGAAATGCTCGAAAAAGTTTTTACAAAGCGGCGACAGTTTGCACAGCATTCAGAGAAGTTCATTATCAGTCTTAAAGAGTGCACAAACACTTTGTTGGTAAATTGTTGGCAGAGCCGAGCAGACGCGCAGCAGAGCGGAGAGCCTCAGAGGGAGCATAGCGCGCCTTGATGATAATAGCACTTAATCAGAAATCAAGTAGTTAGCTAAATACCTGCCGAGCTGCACTTTGCGTTCCGGGCACCCTCCCTCCATGCTCCAGGGAAATTGTGTGAACATTTTCATTGAGCTCAAAGTTTCGCTAAGCATTCCTTTAACGACTGCAAGTCATGTGGATTGCAATTGGTTCAATTGCCACGTCCCCCGCCGCGCCAACATTTACCATGTTGTCAGTCACCATGCAAGCGGCGTTAATTTGCGCGTGAAATTGGATTTTAGTAGCATTGGAAGACGTTTTACCCCATTTTACTTGAAGCTATGTCGGCACGGGGTGTCGGCTTTTCGGTTTTACGGTTTGATACTCACTTTGACTTTGGAGCATTGTCTGCGCTCTTGTGGCCTTCCCACTCTTGCAAAATGAGGCAAACAGTTTATGGCAGAGATGACAAGTGTGGCACGAGTAGAAAATGATATATTAAAAAAATGTCCGGCAAAATAGAAAAGCGGAAAACAGTGCGGAACATGGTGCTAAGAGGTGCTAACATTAGAAAGAAGCAAGCAATATAGCGGAAAATATCGCTACAATGAAACAAGACGCTATTCTTTGGAAAAAATACGACTAAATACCCTTCTAGACATACAACGTAAAGCTATATAATTTTGTGAGGAAAACTGTGAAGCACGTTATTACTGAGTTTGCTGAGGAAAAAAAATCAAGCAATACCTATATTAAATTATAAAGCTTCACGATAAATAAATAATGTTAGATAGAGAAAAATGAGATACTGATTGAGCAATTTAAACGATAGATAAGGTTATCTTCAGGTGAAGTAATATACAATTTGTTCGAGCTATAAAAAAAGTTGTGGACGATGCCAACAACACGCGGTGTTCCCAAGCGGTCCCCCATCTAAGTACTAACCGCGCCCGACGCTGCTTTATTTCGGTGATCGGACGAGAACCGATGTATTCAGCGTGGTATGGTCGTTGGCGAATGTCGAGTGCTTAGAGCACAAACTTGTAGCTGGAATTTCAAAATCATGAGGAGTGCATTTTTGCTGGATTTAAAAATTGTTGTTATGCTACAAGTGTGACGTTTGGGGCTCAGCATTTGCAAGAGTCGGCAAAACGAACGCAAGAAAAGTTTCTATTTTAATATATATAAGTCAGAACGACAAGACGGCAAGAAGTCGGGAAAGGGGAAAATTAAAATATTAATTAATACGGAATTTACCTGAACTATATTTTAAAAAATCTTTAATCCATATATAACCAGATAAATAATGTTAGATAGAGTAAAATGAGATACTGATTGAGCAATTTAAACGATAGATAACCTGAAGTAATATACAATTTGTTCGAGCTATAAAAAAAGTTGTGGACGATGCCAACAACACGCGGTGTTCCCAAGCGGTCCCCCATCTAAGTACTAACCGCGCCCGACGCTGCTTAATTTCGGTGATCGGACGAGAACCGATGTATTCAGCGTGGTATGGTCGTTGGCGAATGTCGAGTGCTTAGAGCACAAACTTGTAGCTGGAATTTCAAAATCATGAGGAGTGCATTTTTGCTGGATTTAAAAATTGTTGTTATGCTACAAGTGTGACGTTTGGGGCTAAGCATTTGCAAGAGTCGGCAAACGAACGCAAGAAAAGTTTCTATTTTAATATATAAGTCAGAACGACAAGACGGCAAGAAGTCGGGAAAGGGGAAAATTAAAATATTAACTAATACGGAATTTACCTGAACTATATTTTAAAAAATCTTTAATCCATATATAACCAGAGAAATAATGTTAGATAGAGAAAAATGAGATACTGATTGAGCAATTTAAACGATAGATAACCTGAAGTAATATACAATTTGTTCGAGCTATAAAAAAAGTTGTGGACGATGCCAACAACACGCGGTGTTCCCAAGCGGTCCCCCATCTAAGTACTAACCGCGCCCGACGCTGCTTAATTTCGGTGATCGGACGAGAACCGATGTATTCAGCGTGGTATGGTCGTTGGCGAATGTCGAGTGCTTAGAGCACAAACTTGTAGCTGGAATTTCAAAATCATGAGGAGTGCATTTTTGCTGGATTTAAAAATTGTTGTTATGCTACAAGTGTGACGTTTGGGGCTCAGCATTTGCAAGAGTCGGCAAACGAACGCAAGGAAAGTTTCTATTTTAATATATATAAGTCAGAACGACAAGACGGCAAGAAGTCGGGAAAGGGGAAAATTAAAATATTAACTAATACGGAATTTACCTGAACTATATTTTAAAAAATCTTTAATCCATATATAACCAGAGAAATAATGTTAGATAGAGAAAAATGAGATACTGATTGAGCAATTTAAACGATAGATAACCTGAAGTAATATACAATTTGTTCGAGCTATAAAAAAAGTTGTGGACGATGCCAACAACACGCGGTGTTCCCAAGCGGTCCCCCATCTAAGTACTAACCGCGCCCGACGCTGCTTAATTTCGGTGATCGGACGAGAACCGATGTATTCAGCGTGGTATGGTCGTTGGCGAATGTCGAGTGCTTAGAGCACAAACTTGTAGCTGGAATTTCAAAATCATGAGGAGTGCATTTTTGCTGGATTTAAAAATTGTTGTTATGCTACAAGTGTGACGTTTGGGGCTCAGCATTTGCAAGAGTCGGCAAACGAACGCAAGGAAAGTTTCTATTTTAATATATATAAGTCAGAACGACAAGACGGCAAGAAGTCGGGAAAGGGGAAAATTAAAATATTAACTAATACGGAATTTACCTGAACTATATTTTAAAAAATCTTTAATCCATATATAACCAGAGAAATAATATTAGATAGAGAAAAATGAGATACTGATTGAGCAATTTAAACGATAGATAACCTGAAGTAATATACAATTTGTTCGAGCTATAAAAAAAGTTGTGGACGATGCCAACAACACGCGGTGTTCCCAAGCGGTCCCCCATCTAAGTACTAACCGCGCCCGACGCTGCTTTATTTCGGTGATCGGACGAGAACCGATGTATTCAGCGTGGTATGGTCGTTGGCGAATGTCGAGTGCTTAGAGCACAAACTTGTAGCTGGAATTTCAAAATCATGAGGAGTGCATTTTTGCTGGATTTAAAAATTGTTGTTATGCTACAAGTGTGACGTTTGGGGCTAAGCATTTGCAAGAGTCGTCAAACGAACGCAAGAAAAGTTTCTATTTTTATATATAAGTCAGAACGACAAGACGGCAAGAAGTCGGGAAAGGGGAAAATTAAAATATTAACTAATACGGAATTTACCTGAACTATATTTTAAAAAATCTTTAATCCATATATAACCAGAGAAATAATGTTAGATAGAGTAAAATGAGATACTGATTGAGCAATTTAAACGATAGATAACCTGAAGTAATATACAATTTGTTCGAGCTATAA